TGGGGGGGGTGGGGGGTCAAGTCAAAAGTGGACAAAAGTGGACAAAGGGGGAGGGGGGGGGTAAAAAATAGCAAAAAATTGGTGGACGTCTTTTATGGATGGCCCCTAAGAAAGTTTACCACCTCCAGCTCTACTCCAGCTGTACTCCCGCTCTGGACAAAAAGACACTTTCCGGAGCTCCGAGCTCCGCTCTAAATCCCGGATTTATTTCTTAGCCTTTCCCACGCATTCCTGCAGGACTCGAGCCCTGCCCTTACAGCTCTCAGTGTAACTGCTTTTGTTTTGGTTGAGGCCCTTAGTGACTGCAAGGCATCAGTTTCTGACTTTGGTCCACTCTGTGTATCCCATTCCACAAATACCCGCCACGTATTCTTGAAAAGAAAGACCCACGTGTGCTCTTCTATTTTTTCTTCTTCGACGTAACGTTGTGCCAATTATACTACTCCTCCTTTTAAGTGTTTCGATATTGACATCACCGATTAAATGTGTAGCAGTGTACCAACCCCACCCCTCCCTTGATTGGGAAAGGTTGTTTACGTTCAATTTTTTTCTAATGAATGCTATAAGGTGACGCAATTTCTACAATATATTTTTGGAGGGTTCTAACTTACTCCAGCTTTTCTAGCAGGGAGAGATTTTGATATTTTTCCTATACATTTTACGATACGCAATATATTTACAAGATTATACTCTTTATGTGTGTGTGTAATGTAATATTTGTATTTTAAGATGATTGTAATTGTTCACATGCTGTGCTGTAAGTTAATATAGTTTTTATTTCTGTACATTTAATGGTGTATTCTTTATATAAATGTACTAGTATAAATAAATTGAATATGGTTAATATCCCTAGCATTGTTATCGTTTTTCTTTGTATACTTGTCGTTTAGACCATCGTTACGTATTAAAAAAATGAGCTTAGTCTTAAAGTTAAAGCAGATTAAATGTACAAAAACCATATATCGGTACGTAACAATGCAAATAAAAAAGGAGTTTTTGCGCTCTCTGCATTTGTGTTACAAATATTTTCCAATCTGGCATTAGTAAGTTTAACGTGCAGTAGCCAGTGTCATCTATTCACAGGGGTGTAAGATGTTTCTAGACTAAGTGATAGATGCCAAAAAACGAGCAAAATACATTTGAAGAGAAAATGGCAACACAGAATCTGCAGCTTACTCATTTATTTTATTAATCACGGAAAACTTCAAGACAAAATTTGAATCACAATTCAAGCCGATCCAAAAACGCTTAGAAGGCCGGACATACATAAACTAAGGCCGGACATACATAAACTAAGGCCGGACATACATAAACAATGTGAACACATGAAAAAGTCTTGGATTACATTTGTGTAACTGAAGGCATACTAACAACGCAACAACACAGATCAGCTGGTTCAGTGCTTCCTACAGGCAGCTCTCCGGGAGGGGGGCAGTCCCCCACCCCTGAGGAAGTCAAGTGCCCTCCCCCCCCCCCATCCCTTCCCCGAAAAAATCTAAAATGACGCCCCTCATATTTTAATTTTAAAATCTCTTTTTTTTTTTTCAAAACATTTTAAAGAAGAGAAGTAAAAAATGGTAGACCTAACTGTCATCGATTAAAATGAGTGAAATACTAAAACCAAATATCGAGGGCGTTGAAATATTTGATGATCCGAACATTTAAGGCAAACCTTGGATATAGTGTTCTATGCCAAATACTTGAAATCTGTTTGATTAAAACTACCTTCCCAACGATGTAAATGCCTATCATTCTAACATTTTGAAATAGCCACCAAACCCCCGATCAAAAGGTCATTACTGTCTCCTTTGTATAGAAACCTGTAGTCTGTAGTGTAGATGGAAAGAATATTATGAAATATTATTTCCCTTACATTAGTAAAAATAGTGGACTATATGTTTTGTTTTTATTGAATCCAGGGTTGACAATGAGATGGAACCAAAGGCATACCTACAGGGCGCCGAAATTAGGTGAATTCAGATTATATAGGGCATGGGTGTCGAATTCAGAGCTGACGGTGGTTGCAAATATGACTACTTTTGGAGTTTGTAAATTCGCTGCCCCCCCCTCTAAAACCTGAAATGCCCCCCCCCCCTTTTTTTTTTTTCATCGAATCCAATTCTCTGAAAGAAACACTGACTTGGTGTCTTTGATTTCCAATGGGAAACATGTCGTCGTCGTTTATTTATTATTAACTGAATCTACCAATAATTAGGATTACATTGTCATCTTATCGGACATTCCCATTTTTTTTTCTAATCTGTAGGCAACTACTTTTAAATATTTAAAAAGAAATCATATGTAATTGTATGGATTTTAATAAATCTACTTAAAAATGCAATCAAGAAAGTAAATGTGAATAAGTGCAGGTAATCGCTGATAAGTGTATAAGGTAGTTAATTGCAAAAAAATAAAAAAGGGATTTGAGTTGGTGTCCATATTTCGTTCTTGAGTTGACATATTTACAGCTTTGTTGCACTTTTCTCCGGTTCGAACCCATCATTGATGTGAAGTCCGCTGTAGCTGGGGGGACTGTCGTCGCTGGTGTTGTCCTGCCTGGAGTGGATGCTGCAGTTCTCATTGTCGTCTGCTGGCATTTCTATGGCAGTGGAGCTCTCCTAAAACATTTTGAATTTACATGAATTATGCTTCAATAAATGAAAA